CAGTTCTACTCTGTAAGACCTGGAGTCAACATGAGTCAGAACAGACTTCACAGCACCTGGTTTGTTTTTTTGGTTTTCTAGTCAAGACTCATCCAACAGTTAAGATGACCAACAATAAATTTAAAAGTAAATTAAAAGTAAATAGGGAAGAGAGTAGTTTGACCTCATATTTAAAGTGACTCTTTTATCAAATGTAATGGAGGAATTTATTTGGTAAAATTTTAACATTTTAAAACATCTTACTTATGGTTATCCTGCTTCTCCCTTTTTCAAAAATTTCTCTTAGGCGCCCAAGATTTAAATACAAAATGTTTTTCTAATACACAGTGGGCTTTCATCTGAGCCCTCTTCAGAGAAAACAAATGTGGATAGATTCAAGTTATGGAAGAGTTTGGTGGATATTGTTGTCTAAAGACTGAAAAAAGCTAACAGCACAAAGGAAAAAAAGAGACCCTTCAGGCAGCCCCAAAGAGCTCTTAATGATTAGGCCTTTAGGGAATTCTTCAAGCAGCTTCTCTCTCCCAATTGGCTCTCCTTTTTCAACAAAATCAAACATGTGACAGGAAAAAAAAAAAAAAGTCTAGAAGTAACTGAAAACTATATATATTCATCAGAATAGTCAGAATCTTATTTTCCTTTTTTGGCTTGCAATTTGTGATTATGCAATTAAGTAGATGTTCCATGTTCCTGATAATTTTAGTTCATCAGCATTTTCTGGAAGCAATCAAAAGTCATATGTATTTCAACAGCTGTAATTTTTGCCAACTCAGCTAGCTTCAGGAACTGGGGGAATTCATTATCACTTTACACAAAAATTCTGTTTGAGATGATAACTGTTAACATTAATCTTTTGGCCTCTGATGGCTTTCATCTGCAAAGTTGGGAGTGATTGCTCTTTAATTAGTGCCATTCCTATCGGCTTTTGCTTGGATTGCCCATGATAACTCCGTCAGAGTTTAATTCATTGGGTAGAGGTTGTTTACATTATTTTTTGCAGCTCTAAAGAGTAAGCATGATTTGTAACACAAATGAAACTTAAGGATACTTATGTGGTTTTTTAATTTTTCTTAAATTCTTAAGACATAAGGATTTAAGGATTTAGAATGCCTTTTCTAAATTGGGATTTTTCTTCCCAGGAACACATCAATTTGCCAGGCATTACAGTGCAAAGGAATGCATTTCATGTCCCGAGGCTAGGATATTCTAGAAGATATATTTTCTGCACACATGCCTAATTCATAATTCATAAGTAAAAGAAAGATCAAGCCCAAAGAAACATTCCTTTTCATATTACCTCCCCATAGACTAAGAAAGGGACAGGTGGGGGCATAGGAACTAGTCAGTCTAGAATCAGAAAACCTCAATGGTGGAATTATCATCTCATCCACCTCTGTGTTTAGATGAAGAAAGTAGGTCCAGAATGTGAAATGTCTAATGAAGTGAATGCAAAGAGTGTTGCCTTTGACTTTGTTGTTGTTGTTGTTATGTGCCGTCGAGTCAGCCCTGACTCATAGCGACCCCTCCTTGGGTTTCCGAGGCAGTATCACTACAGAAGTAGGATTGCCCAACCTTCCTTCCGAGGAGTGGCTGATGGGTTTGAACCGCCAGCCATCTGGTGAGCAGTCAAGTGCCTTAGCCACTATGCTACCAGAGCTCCCTTTGACTTTAGTAACTAACTAATGATTGGACCTGATGGGGAATGTTGCTGATTTATTTCATTTGAATACCTTGAAGTTGACAACCTCATTGTAAATCCATGGTTATTAAATGATTGATTGATATTCAGAAATCACAAATAAATATAACTATGATTTAAAAAAATAAGTTCATGGTTTCCTTTTTGAGCTGAGTCAAAACTTGTCCTACTATCAGTGTAGTGTGTGTCTTAAGCCAATCACTTTTGAGATATAAAAGCAGCAGCTTAAGCACAGAAGCAAGAAATCAGGAATGAGGGGAAAATAGATGCCACATGGAGCTCTCCAAAGAACACTGAAAAGAAAGGGTTTTTCCCCAGAGAGTACAGAGATAAAGTCTTTCCCTAGAGCTGGCACTCTATATTCAGACTTCTCCTAAACTGTGAGAAAATTAATTTCTGTTTGTTAAAATCACCTACTTGTGGTAATTCTGTTATAAAAACCAAACTTAAAAAACTAAGCAGACACTGTGTTTGTCCTCAGGGAGCCTGCAATTGAGGTAGAGCAAGAAAATGTATTTGCTGGCAAGTAAAAGAATAGGAAATTGGGACATAATCAGAATCTGGGGGTAAGGATCATGTAGTTGAGACTCAAAAGAGGGAAGATGGTAATGGCCTAAGAAGTCAGGAAAGGCTGTATAGAGGTCATATGACTTGGGTAGGTCCTTGGAGATGTGAATTAGAAGAGAAAAGGAGTTACAGGCAAAGAAAACCAATGTGATATATAAAACTGATGATAAGTGTGAAGGAATACAAATACGTATGGTACATTCAGGGGATATTGAATAAATGGATGTTGTCAGAGTAGATGATACATTTTGGTGAGCAGTGGAAGACAGGTCATCAAAGCTGGGTGACAGAAGACTTTTGGTCTGAGCTAAGGAGTTTGGACTTAATTTCATAAATAGTAGAGAACTACACTGGGCAAATAAGCTGAGAAACTGGGCTATGTGAAGAACACAGCATCAGGATTGGAGGAAGAATCATTAACAACCTGCAACATGCAGATGACACAATCTTGGCTTGCTAAAAATGAAGAGGACTTGAAGTACTTACTGATGAAGATCAAAGACTATAGTCTTCAATATGTATTACACCTCAACATGAAGAAAACAAAAATCCTCACAACTGGACCAATAAGCAACATTAGGATAAATGGAAAAAGACTGAAGTTGTCAAGGATTTCATTTTTACTTGGATCCACAATCAATGCTCATGGAAGCAGCAGCCAAGAAATGAAATGATGGTTTCATGGGACAACCCAGTTAACTGATTAACAAAGTGTTTAGTGCTTTTGTTCTATCTCTTACTTCACTGTGTAGTGCCTAAAGTCTTAAAAGCTTACAAATGGCCATCCAAGTCACAATTAGTCTCTACTCACCTGGGGGAAACAGAGGAAGAATAAGAGAGAGGAAGAGGACATGAAATATGTGGCTAATTGACTCCAAGAACAGCTTCTACCTTTGTCTTGAGACTGGAAGAATGAGATGATGCTTGGCTACCATTACTGAACATGTTGATTAAAGATTCTGCAGGAGAATCTTGATCAAAAGGAGGAAAATATAGGACAAAATTTCAGATTCTCATGGTCTCCTGACTATCTGGCACCTTGGAAGGTGGATGAACCCCTGAAACTATTGGCCTGAGAAAATCTTTAAACCTTAAAGCAACAATATCTCCTCCAGTCTTAAAAATAATGAAAAAGGAAAGAAATCAAATGATGTACTGCACTGGGCAAATCTACTGCAGAAGACTCTTTAAAGTGTAAAAAAGCAAAGATGTCACCTTGAGGCCTAAGGTACACTTGACCCAATCCATGTCATTTTCAATTGCTTCATATGAAAGCTGGACAATGAATAAGGAAGACAGAAGAAGTATTCATGCATTAAATACATATAATTTTACAAAAGGAATATATATATTAAAAAGAAATCCTATTTTGTAACATAAATTATGGTGCTGGCAAAGAATATTTAGTATACCAAGAAGTATAGCCAGAATGTCCCTTAGAAGTGAAGATGGTGAGACTTTGTCTCATGTATTTTGGACATGTTATCAGGAAGGACCAGTCCCTGGAGAAAGACATCATGCTTGATGTCTACTTATCTCATGCTGCTCTAACAGAAATACCTCATGTGGATGGCTTTAAAAAATAGAAATTTATTTCTCACAGTTTAGGAGGTTATAAGTCTTAATTCAGGGTACAGGCTCTAGGGGAAGGTACTTACCTCCTTTCAGCATCTGTGGACCTGATGTTCCATGGAGATCTCCATGTGTCTTGACATCAGTCTTCCCCTGGGTCTCGGAGGTTCTCAGTGCAGGGACCCCCACACCTAAAGGACATGCTGTGCTCCTGGCTATCCTTTCTTGGTAGTAGTGAAGTCCCACCCCTCTCTGCTTGCTTCATTCTCCCTTTATCTCTGGCAAGATAAAAGGTGTGACTGAAGCAAGTGTGGTAACTTAAGGGTATGACTTGAGTCATGCCTTCTCTTAAGGCTGTGACTCAAGATACACCCAATACTGATCCTGCATCATTAACCTATCAAGATTAGGATTTACAACACATCACAAAATGGAGGACAACCACACAATACTGGGAATCATGGCCTAGCCAAGTTGACACATATTTCGGGGAGACACAATTCAATCCATGACAATTGGTAGAGAGTGAGCAAAAAAGAGGAAGACCCCTCCCTGATGGATTGGCACAGTGGCTGCAACAATAGGCTCAAACAAGTACACTTCAGTATGTTACATCCTTTGTGGGCTCTTCTTTTTGTCCCAGCTGATTCTCTTTCATTTTTAAGGAATATCATTCAAAATATAAGCTGAGGCAAGGAAAAGGAGAATGAAGTGAAGCTAGAAATCTTTAGGCTTTCAGGAAAGTCACCAAAAGTCTACCTATCTTCCTACATCAATTAATATTAAGGCTTACCTCTCAGTAACAATTCTCTGAACTATGTTTTATTTCCATTGGTTTTGCATTTACTGGGTCACTACCACTCTTGAAAATAAAAACAAAACTCCACCAAATGGTGTATTGCTAAACCATTTAACTTTATAACCAATACTAGCTTCTTCCCAATCTCCTAAAACACTGACTAAAACGGATATGGTTACAAACAGCTAGTAAGTGTGAGGCCAATATTCTACCATTTATTATTCCTCTCGTCATCTTTAAGGTCTTGAAGAAAATGTGGAGGCAGTTCCCTCAAGGGAAAACAAATAATATGGCTCTGATGGTTCTGTTAATAACTATACAGTCTCAGGGAGAAACCATCACCGAGTTGATCTGGTCTCCCCACAGGTGGCTCCAGTGATTAAAGCCAGAATGATGGAGTATGGGACCACAATGGTCAGCTACCAGCCCTTGGGAGATAAGGTCAATTTCTTCCGCATGGTCATCTCAAACCCGGCAGCAACTCATCAAGATATTGACTTCCTGATTGAAGAAATAGAACGCCTTGGACAAGATTTATAACTTAAGCTCACTAAGCTGTTTCAATTCTCTAGGCAGACAATTAAGTTGTCACAAACTATGTGAATGTATTTGTAGTTTGTTCCAAAGTAAATCTATTTCTATATTGTGGTGTCAAAGTAGAGTACAGTTTAAAAATCAAAAAAAAACATTGCTCCTTTTACAAATCCTTTCTTAAGTTTAAAATATCCCTCTAGCAATTAGTGACAACAGGCTATGTTCTAATCAATTAGGAAAAGCTTCAAATTGTTATAAATACTTCCCTTACTTTTAATATAGTGTGCAAATCAAATTTTATTTTCACATCAAAGTAGTAGGATTGAATGATTTCAAATTGTCCCCTGAATCATAAAAGGTTCTTTGGGGTGCAGTGAAAAGGATAAAGTAAATATAAAATATATGTTGACAAAAACTCTTGCCTTTTTCATAGTATTAGAAAAAAAATTTCTAATTTACCTATAGCAACATTTCAAATGTATTTAAATACATATAATTTTACAAAAGGAATATATATATTAAAAAGAAATCCTATTTTGTAACATAGATTTTTATTTTCTATGGGTTATATAAACTGCAGGGACAGATATAAAAACTAAGCCAGATTTTATTTTATTTCTTTTACTAGAAACACAATAAACACTTAGCAAAGTTATTTTGAAACATAGGCCAACAAAATTCTTAAAAAGAAGATACGATGCCTTCTTTCTGCACGTGATGACTTCTCAAATCTCTAAAGTGAGTATCTCAAAATAAAGACAAAAGCAAACTCTAAAATGGTTGATCAGATCAGTTACAGTCAACAGTAAGATGCTCTTCCCATTGAAATTTTCCATGCTGTTGGCCCTCAGCAGATCTACCAACAAACAAGACAAGCCACACTTCCCCTTTGATTAAATTCGGGCACTCTTCTCTAGTCTGCTTTCTAATTCAGCCTGTTTTAAGCAGAAGGTTGATGCTGTTCTTGAGGCATCTTCCCAACCAATATTCTTTTATTTGGTCATTCAGATTAATTATGGAAAATAAAAATCTAATTGGCTTGAGTAAAAAGGAATGAAGCACACTCCCTGAATGTGGTGAGCCCAGAAAATTAAGTTGGCCTTGGGAGAAGAGATCTCTTAGTGAAAATGATATCATCCTGGATGCCATGGGGCCAGTGCAGGAAGGAGTAATGGCTTATTCATTCCTTCCCCATTCCTATCCACAAAAGTCTCTTCTGCTAGACTCCCTGTAACTGGGATTCCAAATACTTAACTTCTATTCCCTGGTGGTGTTTATTTTTCTCCCATTAAATGAGCTCCTCACCCTTGATTTGGAGATATCACAAACTTTCTTTTAATCTGTTTCCCATCAAGATCCAAAGTGATAAGAATATACAGGAATAATCTTTAGAACTAAAAATAGTTTTTAAATATTCTTTACCTCTTGCAGACCTGTTGGTGAGACATGAACTAACAAGAGCTCCCCCTGCTCCGAAAAAATTATTTATGGAGCCACAGAATGTCAGATATCAATCTAGTAGGAGGACTACAAATTCATATATGCAGACCTCAGATATAAATTTAGAAATATTCCTCTTCCTTTAGCCAAAAAGGAGCTCTGGTGGCATAGTGCCTAAGGCATTTGACTGCTAAGCAGAAGGCTGGAGGTTCAAACCTACCAGCCACTCCATGGAAGGTTGGGCAATCTACTTCCATAGTGATACTGCCTCAGAAACCCAAGGAGGGGTCACTATGAGTCGGATCTGACTCGACGGCAGTGAATTTTTTTTTTTTTTTTTTTTTTTGGTCTTTAGCCTCAAAGACCACAGATACACAAGTAAAGGAAGAGGACTATTCTCCAAAAGATAGAGATCCCCTAATGTAACCACAGAATCCAACCGTCTGAAATCCTTATGAGCTTGCTCCAAAATTATTTCTCCCACGTTACATACAAAAAGTTTCTTTTAGCCCCACTTGATGTGAACATGGCTTCAGGTTCTTTCAGTCTAGAGAGCAAATAGATTTCCCTTTGACGATGAGAGGAAGATGATTTGTGCCCAGAATTTCATGAAGAAATAAGTATCATTCTAGACTTTGTCTAATGGCAAAGCATCACTTCCCTTTCTAGAAACTTCCAGAAGTTTCCAGAAATTGGTTGCTGAGAATAAGTTTCCCATCTATCTTGAGCCTCAGGCCAAGTCTTCCACTTCTGAGGCCAAGATGCAAGTTTATCAAACCAACTACCTTGCTTGAAGAGAATGGAATCCAGTGCCCCTGATCTGGACCAACCCCTCTCTATTCCAGAATGCTTACCTTGTGGGGTACAGATCCTACATCAGAAGCTGCTGCTTTTTTAACTTTATAATGTGACAGAATTTAAAGGAGAAACATTTGTGCCTATGTATGAAATTCCATCCAAATATGTTCTACCAATAGGTTGTTTTCCCCACCTCCTGCCCTTCCAAGTCCTTCCCCGAATTTTCTAGGCGTTTTGGGCCATCCCGTGCAGTGAAATCCCTACCAACCACACCCAGAAACGGAAGCTAAATAAAAGCTAACAGGTCCCAAGACCTATCAGTAATATTAATTACTATTATAATTATAGTAATATTAATAAATATTCTTTAAAGAAAGTCTGTAGTCTTGGAAGGAAAGGAGGGAGGAATGAAGGGTTTTTTGAACATTAGCCCAAATTCCCAGTGCCAAAGGCCATTATATGGGGTCATTCTTTACAAATTTTAGAAGTTTGATTTTAGCTTTAACCAGAATTGACTTGGCCATTTTAATTTACACAGCAATATTGTGTTTATTATTTTTAAATACTTGAAAAAAAAATACAGTGTATATTTTATTTGAGATGTATAAATGATACTGACTTCATGTAATGTCACAAGGACATGAGGGAAAAAAAGGAACTCAATTGTGTCTGTGACTGTTGCTTTTATTATATTGGTAGTACTGTCTTGTCACCTCAGATTGGGGTTGTGCACTTTAGATCTGAATTGTACAGTGTTGCAAATCAACATGTGTTGCTGTAAAAGCTTGTACAATATATTATTGATATGTCTATTTCTGTGTGGTAGCTGTATTGAACTTTGATATTATGAGAACAACATTCACACCTGTCCCTGTACTCTCTCCACTAAACTGTGCGCCCTCCACATCAGCTCTAATAGAGAACATGCCCTTGGCTACCCCATATTGAGAAATCTCCTCGGAGAATTGTGTGACTTAATGAAAATGAAAGGTAGAAACACAGCTTCGTCTCTGAGAAGAGAAAAACAATTATGGAGTGTCACAAACTGCTCAAATGGCAGGTATTAACCCTGCTGGGCCCGGGCGTAGCTGCTGCTCCTCAGAATATGACAAAGAAAGCAGGGTGTAAATATAGTAGCAGGACGAAGAGTCAAGGAACCTAAAACTGGGAACCATCCTGCACGTGCTCTTCTGTTTTCAAATGCTAAGTGCAAACACTGTGTATTTGTTTAGTTGCGTGTGCCAAAATACTGTTCCCAACTGGTGTTTCTGAAAGACGTTGACATTTCCCCAACATTACTTCATTACTCAAGACAGAAAAACAAATAACACAAACATGTGACGACCTGTTCTTACCAAATATAAACTTGTGTATAATCCAAGTATTTTATCTGTGTTGTCTCTCTAAGCCAGAATAAATGTGTAAATGTAGACATGCATTAGGTGTTCAGTGCTTATTTCTGACTTTGCAGTGCTGTGGAGATGTATAGTGACTGGCCCTGGTAAATGCCTCAGGGCCTTTCCCACTCCCTTCACTTGTCACCAAGCTCAGAGTGTCTTTGGGTCTCTGTTGAGGATAAAAGATCTCACTTCTGCAGTTGCCCCCTCCTGTAGCTTCTGGGGAATATGGATTGGTCACTCTGGTTTCTTCTTCAGTCATATCCCATCTTTTTGTTTGTTTTTAATATTTTATTAAAATTTTCATATATGTACTATGTTGAGAAATAAACTCATGTACCCTTCAACGAGCTTCAACAGTTACTACCTCAGAACCAATTTTGTGTAATCCATGTCCCCACCCCATTCTCTCTTTAATATATCTCTGAAAGATATATTTTGTTTGTTTTAAAAATACCCATATCCTCAATACCATTATATCACAACTGAAGCAATAATAATAATATTGCCATAATAATATTAACTAGCCAGTTAATGTTCTTATTTCCCCAATTGTCAATTCCACAGAAAAACACATGGGCCATGGCCCACAGCAACCCAGAAAACCCAGTGAGGCCCCATTATGAATTGAATTGTATCCCCAAAATAGGTATGTTTAAATCCTAACCCCTTGTACCTGTGAACACGGCCTTGTTTGGAAACAGGGTCTTTGAAGATTTTATCAGTTAATATGAGGTCACACTAGAGTAGGGTGGGTCCTGATCCAGTGTGAGTGGTGTCCTTGTAACAGAGAAGAGGCAGAGGAAGGACGAGCATAGGAAGATGCATCTACAGATCCTGGGGCTGCCAGATGGTAGGAAAGACTAGAAAGGATATTCTCCTAGAACCCCAGGAGGCAGCATCACCCAAACAATACATTCTTTTGGACTTCTAGCCTCCAGAACTGAGAGACAATAAATTTCTGTTCCTATAAGCCATTCTGGTTGTGATATATTTTTTAGAGCAGCTCTCAGAAACTAATACAGTCTCCACACACCTTTCTGGACAGCTGGGACATATATCATTCTGACATACAACACAGTGTTATACACACATGGGCTGTGTATATGCTGTTTTATAGTTTCCATTGTGTTTATTTCTAGATCTTTGTGGGTTGTGAGTTTTGGGGGAATTGTGTTCAGGGGCTTTTCTCCCAGGCTACTGCAAATGGGAGTTGGTGCTGTGGGCAGATTAAAAGTTTAAAAGCCAAAGGAATTTAATTGAGGGAATATATACCTGTGCAGAGTCAAGTCCAGGCTGCCTCTAAGGGCTTGAGATGCCTTTGTAGGTACTAGTCTGGAGTAAAAAAATTACTTCAAACAGAAGTGTGTATGTATGGAGAGGGTGTCAAAATAAGGGCAGGAGGAAGCCAAAGTTTCTAAGTACTTTCATTATTGCTTATAAGCAAACTAATCAGCAATAACCAACTAGAGGTGACACTTTACCTATTCCTGCCTTTATTCACATTATTCCCAGAAAGAATTTCACATTCCTCCTCGTTATTTTGGATTTTTGTTTTTCCTTGCTATAGGGAACAATATCGCATGGGTGTTGGGAGACTCTGGGGTTAGATGTGTTGTTGTTAGTTGATTCTAACTCATGATTATCTGGATTCAAACCACAACTCCATCACTGACCAGCTATAGACTCTTGAGCATGTCATCTGACCTCCCCGAGTCCCTGTACCCCATCCTACAACAGTAACCTTCTTTACGAGGTATTTGTGTGGATTAAATTTAAATACATACACACACAAATGTATAGCACTTAGCATGGTGTTTGGCACAGAGTAGTGCCTAAGCCATTTGACTGTTAACCAGAAGGCTGGCAGTTCAAACCCACCAGCTGCTCCTCAGTAAGAAGACTGGGCAATCTACTTCCGTAGTGATACTGCCTTGGAAACCCAAGGAAGGGTTGCTATGAGTTGGATCTGACTCGACGACAGTGAGTTTGGTTTTCGATGTGCTCAACCAATCTTGTCTTTGTAGTGATGATGTTAATTATATATGAATTCTATAAATCAGTTTAAGTCACCTTCTCTATGAGACCTTCCTAAGCAGTCACCTTCCTCTGAATTCCCCAACTATTGACTCTTGGTTAATAGTGCTCATTGGGCACCCACCTAACAAGTTCAGGATGGATATGTCAGCTCTTGGATTATCTTCTCTCTCAATGGAGATTAGAAGCAAAGTCTGTTTCTTATATTTCTTTGTTATCACGCCTCCTTCCAAACCTCTTTCCTGCAATACACACCCCCAAAAAAGGATTCTCCATCATCTCCAATGATGTCCTATAAGTAGAAGGCACACCATCCATACCCATCACTCTACCTTCTTCTGGCCCCTAGTGCAACCTTGATCAAGTCAACTAACATCTCCTAGCCTCAGCTTCCTCAGTTGAAAAATGAATGGGTGGGACCAGTTGTTCTCTAGGAAATTTAAGTGGAAAATTGTTTCAGATTACAGATTTATAAATCTGGAAGAGTTCTTAGATGGAGTAATTAATTCTGCTAACCTTTATTGAGGGCCTACCATATGCCAGATGCTTTTGCATATTAATCCAGCTCCATCATTTTACAGATGGGAAAATAAAGCCTCAGAGTGATTTTCCAAAGTCACAAAATAAATTGATAGTCCAAACAGCATTTTTGATGAGTTGATACAAATGACAAAGCCATTCGAAATGGCCTGCCTTCATCTGTACTACCTTCCCCACCTATCCCTCCCACTTCCTCTGTTTCCACTGTCCCACGCTTGCTGCCACATGGGCCTTTTCTGACACCTGCCTCAGGGCCTTTGCCCTTGCTGTGGCCTCTGTTAGAACACACTGACCAAGGTATTTTCATACCTGGCTCCTTTTCAGTCGGGCTTAGCTCCAATACCACCTCTTTGATGAGGCCTTCTCAGACCACTCAATTTTCATTTCTTCATGATTAATCATATCACTGTTTTGTTTCCCTCACAGTGATTTTTTTTCATCATTTATTTTTCAAAATTTCAAAATGCCATAGTGAGAGATGACAACCCAAACAAATGCCTAAAAAATAAACCACTAAACTCACTGCTGTTGAGGCAGATCCGACTCATAGCGACCTCTCCTTGGGTTTCCGAGACAGTATCACTATGGAAGTAGATTGCCCAATCTTCCTTCCAAGGAGTGGCTGGTGGATTTGAACCGCCAGCCTTCTAGTTAGCAATCAAACGCCTTAGGCACTACACCACCAGAGCTCCTAACAAATGCCTAGTCAAATAAATTTGTTATGGAAATTGGAATTTTGTCAGACTCTGCAGTGTCAAAGTGAGAAAGTCCATGCATACATGCACAAGAAGACCAATCCATCCTTTTCTAAAATGATTCTCCACATTTTAACTTGAGTTTCTTCCATACTGCGTCTATAAATTAGACTGTTTGCAATTTAACTTTTAAGTTGGTTAAAATAACTGCTACCTACTCCAGTTAAATGAACATGCCTAGTGATAAGTTTAAACACAAGGCAATGTTCATTTTAACTCAGTTTTTCCCATTTCAGACAACTCTGACTGAAGTTCTTTTTGGATTTCCCATTAACAGAGCCAGAGAAGGCTAGCTGTTTAAAATTATTTGCTTATTATAACAATATATGCACACCCATGCTCACCACAGCACTATTCACAATTGCAAAGAGATGGAAACAAACTAAGTACCCATCAATAGATGAATGGATAACCAAACTATGGTACATACACACAATGGAAAACTATGTAACATTAAAGAATAATGAAGTATCCACAAAACACCTTATAATGTGGATAAACTTGGAGAACATTATGCTGAGTGAAATATTATATAAGTTCACTATTATAAAAAGCCAAGGAATGGTTTACACATGGAAGGAAACTTTCTTTGTTGGTTACCAAGGATGGGAGGGAAAATTGCTAGTTAGGTAAGAGACATATATTGATTTGGGTGAAGGAAAAGGCAATATACCAAAAGAGGGTGACCAGCACAGTATCACTAAGGAAAAGGAAGACAAGAGAGGTGCACAAGAGGTACAGTATTTACAACAAAGGTAAATACTATTACATACACAATACTGCATTATCAGTAATAACAAACATTAATCTATGGGTGGATACATAGGTAGACAGGAAAGTTGATTGGTATGAGTAGGCAAATGAGAATATACCCATGACCATATATATATATCTGGCAGATGATATTTCTATATATGTATTTGTGCTATAAAATTGTCCATATGTGTATTATAGAAGAGGGGCAAAGTTATCATAACTTCTTAGCCACAACCACACACCTTGAGGCTGTGAGTCACTGGGCCTGTGGGCTCAGAATCATGATTACAGAGGACATCAAACTTAATTGGCATAACATACTACACACAAAAAAACATTGTTCTACATCCTACTTTAGTGAATAGCAACTGGGATCTTAAAACTTAAGAGCAGCCACCTAAGATACAACTATTGGTTTCTCCTTGTTTGGAGCAAAGAAGAGTGAAGAAAATCAAAGACAAGTGGAAAAAAATTGTCCAAGGGACTAGTGGCCTACAAGACCCTGAGACTGGAACTAATGGTACCCAGCTACCACTGCCGAATATTCAGAAAAGGATCAAAACAGGAGATCCTGAATAGAGTGGGAGAAAAATGTAGAATAAAACTCATGTTTTGGTTACTTTATGCCACTCTAATAGAAAACACCATAAATGGGTGACTTTACCAAACAGGAGTTTATTCTCTTATAGTTCAGGAGGCTAGAAGTCTGAGCTCAAAGTGCCAGCCAGACCTTGGGCTTCAGCTCTGCCTCTTGCTTCTGGCCCACTGAAGCTGGAGTCTTTCTTTACTCAGGCAGCCACTGGCTGCTGAGGCTAACAAATACAACATCAACAAGTAAAAAGGCACAGTCCCGATATTACCAAACCACATGGCAGGCCATTGATTCAAGTCCATTAGGAGTCCAAAGATCAGCAGACAACATGGCAGCCTGCTGAGTAACAACTTGGCT